ATTGTTATTAGGCCCTCGTTGCTTTTCAGCCCGCCTAAGATCATAGGGACAAGGAGGTGGCTGAAAAACAGCGCTGTCTGCGACAACAACGGTTTCAGGCCGCACAAGCTGAGACACCACCTTTTGCCCTCTGACATCATCGGCATACCATTTGATTGTTTCTGTTTTGGCTTAACATATTATTTATATCAAAAAGTGTCATTAAAGGATATTTGTATTTGTAATAAACATATGTATCATTACAATAATAAGAAATAGAATAAATCGGATTAAAATAATAAAAATGTGATGTTTACAACATTGCAATTCACAGAGTGATATGGCTCAATTTAATTTATTTTTCAAGTTACATCATTACATATTTTATTATGTTAATCACGCGATGCCAAAATTGTGACAGTTTTGTAAGGAATAGGCGATCGGTCGCTGCGAATTGTGTGTTCGTGATTAAAGTCGGGTGAATGATCGCTATTGCAATACTATTTAGCACAAACTATAGACAGGTTGTCCTTCAGAAATACCGCAATTGTAATAAATCTATTTTCGTATTAAATAACAAGTAATCAGTAAAAATATAAATAAACATTTTTCTGAGGCTAATTTGTGAAATTTCTGACATTTCAATCGAACTGGCCATGTACCGCCATAAATTTTAACCAATATTTTTTTAATAAATATTTATGGCCCGGTTGCAAGAATTAAGGCCAATTTAACCAGCCAGGAGGCTGTATAGAAGTATATTTCAATGTTATGGAGTATATAAGGGTAAAAGTCAATGCTACCCTGAGGGTTGAGTATTTGGGGTCCAGCCAAAATACGAATTTTAATTCATTTGTGGTGAGAGTACCAACTCATCTGTCGACTTTCGTGAAAAATGAATTTTGGCCGAAGGGTGTCATGTACCGACGTTTCCGAGGCCGGCTATCGGACACCCACGTTGCGTCACACGTCGCAGACAATATGTGTAAATAATAATTAGCCATTAATGTTTTATTATTATGTATGTTAGTCTATAAGGTACGTATTTATGGGTCTTTGTAACCTGAATACAAATAAATAGCCTTTGAACAGCCTCTTAATTGATATAATAATTAGCTTTATTTGAAACTCATAGTTCTGTACACAGTACTTTAATAGGTGGGGCGTACTATAAGTTTCTGGAATGAATAAGATAAAAATACTATAAATGGTCAGAAATGAATTTACTGTTTCTCAAAATATTCTCCATTAGCGTTAATGCACTTTTTCGTACGTATGAACCAATTTTGAAAACATTTATGCCACTCCTCCGCGACAATCTCAGAAACATACTCTTCATACTCTTCGACAGCCTCTTCAGGCGATGAAAATCGTTGATGGCGTAACTGGTTCTTAATTTTTGGAAATAAATAAAAGTCACAAGTTGCCAGGTCAGGACTGTACGCGGGATGGCTCATAAGGTCAACGTTGTTCACCTTCAAAAATTGATTTGTCTGTCTGACCGTGTGAGAACTGGCATTATCGTGGTGCAAGATACGGTATTTACGGTTATTTTTATGGAGTTTGTCAATAACTTCCGGCAAACAAATGGTCGTGTACCAATCACTATTCACGGTACAACGATTCTCCAAAGCAACATTAGCAACGTTTCCAGTTTTATTAAAAAAAGGAGCAATCATCCGCTTAGAGGCACTTTGCACGCGCGCCACTTTGGTTGGTTTCGGCTCATCTCGAAAGACCCATACGCTCGATTGCTGTTTTGTTTTGGGATCGTAACTATAAATCCATGTTTCATCACCTGTTACTATGTCCCACACCAAGTTTGACTGCCCTTCGTTGAATCTGGTAAGCATGGCATTACACCAAGTGAAGCGATCCGTTTTTTGAGCCTCAGTCAAATTGTGTGGGATCCACCGACAGCACAGCTTTTTCACACCCAAATGTTTGTGTAGTATTTGACTCATGCCTATAACTAAAGATGCTCGAATCTCATTGTATGTCACATGCCTGTCTGTTTTGATCATACGGCGCACAGCATTGATGTTTTTGTTGTTCACAGCAGTGGACGGGCGACCCTCACGAAACTCGTCACTGAGATTCACACGACCGCGTTTAAATTCTGCAAACCAGCTATAAATAGTCATCTTGCATGGTGCTTCATCGTCAAAAGCAGTTTGAAGCCGAGCGAAGCGCCGCTGAGCTGTTAAATTACATTTAAAGTCGTAGAAAAACATACTACGAAAATTTTCACGAGTTAAATCCATGGTGATGGTGATGTAGATAACCAATTTCTAAAATGACGCCACAATGTGAAAACAAGTGACAGTCAGATGAAACAAACTGTATTCTACAGCCAAAGAGTTTCATTTTCAAATGTTGTAATTACTTTTTAAATATTGTTTAAGTAAGTGGCCAGTTCCGGAAACTTACTTACAGAATAGTGATTGAGAACCAAAAAGAGGGAGCTTAATGATATGGTTTATGAAATTATAATAATTGACAGATTAAAGTACAGGAGTAGAAAAAAGACGTTACAAGCGTCCCCTCGACGCTGTGCCGGCGGGCGGTGCGGATGGTGCAACGACTTTTTCGCTACTATTGCATTAGCCGAGTCCTCGTTAATAAGTGTGGTGATAACAGGACGCTAAACCTACCCCATGGAGTGGCATGCTGTTGGATAAATAACATTGACAATTAAAAGGCGTACATTTTTAAAAATTAATCAATAAGCGCGCATTTGACCTCCATCTCACCTCAAAAATGACGATAAGTGAAAAGACCCAAGTCATAGCGTTCGGGGTACAAGTCTGCAGGCAGAGAATTCAGTGGAATTTTGCCGTTCCCCGTATAAATGTGGAATCGCAACGCTTCGTGCGAATCTAAAGAAATAGGCATAGGCATGAGTCAAATACAATCAATACTACACAAACATTTGGGTGTGAAAAAGCTGTGCTCTCGGTGGATCCCACACAATTTGACTGAGGCTCAAAAAACGGATCGCGACACTTGGTGCAATGCCATGCAGACCAGATTCAACGAAGGGGCATCAAATTTGGTGTGGGAGATAGTAACAGGTGACGAAACATGGATTTATAGTTACGATCCCAAAACAAAGCAGCAAGCGAGCGTATGGGTCTTTCGAGATGAGCCGAAACGACCAAAGTGGCGCACGTGCCTGTAAGCGGATGATTGCTTCTTTTTTTAATAAAACTGGAAACGTGGCTACCATTGCTTTGGAGAATCGTAGTACCGTGACTTTTATTTCTTTCCAAAAATTAAGGATCAGTTACGCGGTCAACGATTTTCATCACCTGCAAAGGCTGTCGAAGAGTATGAAAAATGTTTCAGATTGTCACAGAGGAGTGGCATACATGTTTTCAAAATTGGTTCATTCGTATGAAAAACCAGAAGCCAGAAAATGGATAAGCTCGGTGCCTAAAGTTTGCATTGCATTGCATTTTATCATTCACTTATTAATTACTCATTAATAATACTTTGAGATGATATTGTCAGTTGTTATGAGTGTGGCAAAGTCAGAGAAAAGACTACATTTTCCTGAACAAAATTTCAAATTAAACGTTAAATTTCATGGTCTTCCTTTTATTTAAGATGCTATGTTTTTTAGAAGAAAACAATCCTTGTGATTGAGGCCTTCGATCACTATGATTTTACTAAATTACAGGTTTTTTTTTTCACATTTGACGGGTTCGAGAATTTAATTAATTGCACTTAGTAAAAACGTTCGAGTATCTCAAACTAGAGGCGCTTCGCTAATTAGCGGTACGTTTCCTTTTAAATGAGAGCAAGCGTGTGTTTAACGCATTACACAATCAAGTATGATGTGTATACGCACCTAATTGATCGAATCGTGCACGGTTGTGGCGTTTTACTGCCTCACGTGGTAGCTGAGACCTATATACCAATTGCGCTCGATTACAATAATTGTCGCCTCTGACCGCGTAATCTATACTCACATACGTTACGTACATAAGATGCACTGTTCTACGTCTAAGATAATCGTGCACTAATGTAGGGAGATTATTTAAAAAATTAGGTCCATAACTGTTTAAATCTAGGTCGAAGCGTATTATAGGTACGCCCCAATAGCGACTAAGAAACTCTGTGAAGAGACTGAGGACAGCCGTCACTGAATAATACATAACATGTTGTCCTTATTGTCCGAGAGCCATAACATAAACGATAACGCTAGCAGTCAGTCCCCGTGCGCGTGTCGCGTGCCTCACAATGTAGCACTGAGTGTTAGCAATTAGCAACGCTTTATGTTAGCACGAGTAGTTCATTTGTTAAGCAACTTGTAAGTTCATTTTAAGTTAGATGAATGTAAACAGTTAAAAATAATTGTTCACATAGAAAAAGCACATCATCAACTCGTTTATACTTTCCAATTCCAATGCTGGACACGGGTCTCCTCTCAGGCGAAGGAAAAGAAGAAAAGGCACATTGCACACTAAGTTGTACAAAATATTAATTCTAAGTCAGTGTGTAAATACGTCCATGCGTCAAAGGTGGGAAAAACTCGAAAGCACCTATAAATCCACATTATGGCGTGGATACTGCGCTTCCACGCTGCTCCGTGTGCGTGCCAGCCCTAACACCATTCTGCACACGGTCGCACACAGGTTCCCAGTCCAATTATTGAACATTGGCAGAGTCTACATAAACATTAGATTAACATGTATTACTAACACTAGTTACATAAGAATTATGATTGTATACTAACAAAATATGGATTATTTTTATTTGAAATAAATTATATTATTATTATAAAGGTGGGTCCACATTTGTGACATTTGAACGCACCAAGATTCATTGATGTCATACGGTACTTGCTACACTAAATGTGGACAAGCCATGATAAGTCACTTATGACACGGCAAAATGTACGTACCGTCTCAAAGGCCCTGACTCGTGAGTCGCTGCATGACAGCCTCCTTGTGCGTAGGGGAAGGGGAAGCGGGGAGAAATCAATGGAACGGAAGAGTGTGTGTGGGAGTACTGACCGGGGCTGTCGGGCACGGTGTCGAAGTGGCAATTGAGCAGCAGGGCGCGGCGCGGCCGCCCGGAAGGCCGCGAGGGGTCCACGCCCTTCGCCGACACGCGCGCCACCACCGACTGCACGTCGCGGTACGCGTTGTTCATCCCTGCCGGTTAAACCGCCAGCTTATCTCCCGAGGTCGGACTTCCTCACCGACAACGGCGTCAGGCAGAAAACCGACCGTCGAAGAAGGACAGCGCGAAGCCGCCACTGGCCGTGTGCAGATCGATCTCGATGCGGTTGTGCGGCGAAACCTGCTGCTGCATCTCCTGCAGCGCGCGCATCAGAACGTTCACTGCCAACACCTCGTTTTCGTAGCTGCCCGCCACCTGCCGCACACGACATCACTTCACCTCAGAGTCGGAGCGCTCCGTGCAGTCAACCTCCCGTCGCGATCGCGTATCCCATGCACGTAAGGTGTGAAGGAAGCCGCGCGTACCCTGGGCCCGATGGACGTGAGGTTGACGAGGTGCTCGTGCGCGATGTCGGCGATGAAGCGGTGCGCGGGCGCGGCGCGCGTCAGCGGCGCGGGCAGCGCGGCGTCGATGCGGGACACGCCCAGCAGCGCGGCGCAGGTGGCCAGCGCGCCCAGCACCAGCCACCACACGTGCAGCGGCGCCCCGCGCATTACGTTCTCCTTCACCGCTTCGCCACCCTCCTGCGCAGGACACTTAATATTCGAGCACGTCTATTCTGGGCTAGTGGTCTAGCGCACGACTGACAATTTCAATTAAAAACTGTGGATACTGCAGTTCAAATTTGAATATTAAAACAAGCAACAAAAATAGAAGAAATATATTTTAAACTTTATGTTCGCTTAGCTCTATGTCATTAGTTCTAAAATAAATGCTCTGTGTATTGCTGCAAACTCACTATTTCTAATAACAAATCAGTGTAAGCAGCCCCTCGCTGATAACTTTCTTATCTGTTATTTAGAATGTGGAATAATGATTTCTAGATTATTTTACTAATCTCAGTTATAAAAGTCAATACATTGATGGGATTTTTTATTACATTTTGTATTTCAATAGGTGTTTTAACTCTAATCAAAGAGAACCACCATACTTCTAGTAGCTACTTATTATCAGCACATTATAGGTTACACGGTCACGGTTAACTAAGGTGGTACAGTCTTCAACCAGTTATGTCTCTATCAAGCAAGCATCTACCAAGATTCAAGCCCCCCAGGAAGATTTCTCAGTTCCTGAGACCCGTGAAATGTAACATCCCCTTACAGGATGCAGGAGTTTACAAGCTTGACTGTGAGTGCGATCTCTCTTATATTGGACAAACGAAGCGAAGTATTTGTACCCACGTATAAGAACTGATGTCAAACACCGTCACGTAAACAAGTCTGCAGTTTGCGAGCATATCATGGATAAATGTACACATTCAATGAAGCTGACAAACCCCAGGTCCTTGCAAAAGAAGTCCGTTATCTACCTAGGATGCTACGAGAGGCCATTGAAATTAAGAAACATCCTAATTTCAACAGGGAAGATGATTTCTTCGTACCACCAGTTTGCGATCCAGTATTTACTCTAATGAGAAATCCCAAATAGACATAAGACTGCAGTACTAATTAATATGTTTTACTTTATTCTAATTTCTATTATCAATTAATAATAAATAGAAACTTAATAAAAATTCATTCAATAAAATAATTTGTAAAACTTAATGTAGTGTAAATTGGAATGTTTTCTTTGTAAAATTACAAATAAGGTATTTAACTAATAATTATTGTAACTATAGTGAAAAAATAGGGTGGTTTGCATCAATATTAGACATAACTGGTTGAAAACTGTACCACCTCCGTCAACCGTGACCATGGGACCTGTAAAGGGCCCGAAATGTCGGTTTGTTTGAAAAAACAAATATACGCGATTTAAATCCGGAAAAATGGTTTCATTTCCTATGTGTAACAATCGCGAAAACCTAAGAACTCTATAAAATCCCATAATATTAACTTCTAACTGATACTTTTGGAGTAAGCTGTTTAGATGCTGTGCACCACTGCCGTATTCTTATGAAACTGGCATGTAGTAATAGTGCGTACCAACAAAGTGATGATTTATGAGAATATCTCTTGCAGTTTACACCAAATCGCTGCCTGTTACAAATGTTATTTTGTCGACTAACAAAACAAAACATAATAGGTATGTTGGTATATGAAGAATACTTAGGGTCGTATTCCAGAACTATACTCAATGCTCTAATTAGGACTTGAGTATGATTTAAAGCACTAGAAATCATACTCAAGTCCTTGCCATTAGGGTC